GTTGAAATGCTGTAGAGAAAGTTGAAGATTTGTTTGTTTTAGTAGACAAATCAATGTAGTTAGTTTATACCTGCAAATTCTTTCTTATCTTATATAGGCAGTGGTTCCATTATCTGTTTAGTTTTCAAAGTCTTTGCCGTGTTGTTTGCATTTGCCCCTCCCATTCCCACTTTGGTTGATCTAGCATTTGAGCAGTGATTTATATACTAGTTCCATTGTGAAAGCCTACCTTACACTTCTTTGGATCTGTTCCGCATATATATAGATAGCTTGTAGCTGGGCCCACGGACTTAGGGATCTACTTTTCTGTCTCTTATCATCAGTGATTTCACCCATATTCTTCAGTTCCCAGGGGCCTTCTTTATTCCCCTAGCCAGAAGCATGGAATTATAGTTTGAGTCTCCTACGTGTCATGCCTCACATGGCAGTGAGCACATTTAGGGAGCCTTTGCCCTAACCGTATTAAATAAAAGTATGGTGGTGGAAACTAGGAATCTGTTTTAATAAAACTTACCATATTTACTTTTGATAAACCAATAACAGGTTTGGGAACTTGTGGATAGAACCAATATTTGGCACTAGCAACATCAAGTTATACTCCCTCTCCTCTCTTTTTTCCCTTTTTGCGAGTTGAGGCTCTTAACAATTCCTGAAATATTTTACCCCAAACACCCTATCCAGTGGTAGAAAATATAGTGTAGTGGATGCCACAAAATTGTAGTCATGCAATTTTAGTTAATGACAGGAGACTTAAGTCTCTCGATTGATGGATTATTGCTCTTATTTTACATATAACTAAATCTTAATTAGTGACTTTATTTCAGTTGTAGGCAAATCCTCTTGTTAAAACTTACTGAACTCAGTTCTTTTAAAAAAAAGTTTTAGATCACATTTCTAAGAAAGCTGGAGATGACAGTGTCTCTATATTCTCTACAAATATATGTATAACTTAGGATCAGTTAAAATATTTCTTTTCACATCTTATAGATGGGTGGCGTCTGTCTGCAGTGCTCTGTTAAAGACAGATTCTTAGGGGAGTGTGAGTCCAAAGAAGTAAGGAGTACCTAGATAGATTAGCAAAATGTACTAAGGTGAGTGAGTGAGTACCCGTATCTTTGGCTTTTGGAGGGGAGTATGCATGTGTGTAAATTTTTCTGTAACAAATGGTACTGTTGAAAACAATTGACATACATTTCTTTCATGGCACTATTTTTATACGAGTTTACTTTAAATCTGTAGCTAACTATGGCCCGCCTGTGGTGAAGTAAAGTGGTTTTAGTCCACAGAGATCTTTTTTGGAAGGTTATTTGATGTAGTAAAATTATATATGAGACACAAATAAGCAGACCCATGTTTGGGTTCCACTTCTGCTATTGTAACTAGCTCTCATACCTTTGAGTCAGGCCTTGCTGATTTCTTAGGCCCCATTGCATTTTGAGTTAAAATTTGTACACAAATAGTAAGCTCACTAGTTTTATGGGAAGTGGAGATATCTGTGACAACATTGAATGATAAGGCAGTAAACTTTGGTTTTGTTTTATTTCATAGTGGTAACTTTTCCTTCTTGAAATAGCAGCCTAAAAGTTTACCTTGTAAACTACTATGTGGTACAGTATTTTAAAATTTTGCTTAAGTATCTGTGAAGTATCCTTCTAACTTAAAAGTGATTTGACCGCATTTGAACTATTCAGTGCATAAGGTATTAAATGATTTTTTTTTTTTTTAAGAGACTGGATCTAACTATGTTGCCCAGGCTGGACTCGAACTCTGGGGCCTGAGATCCTCCTGCCTCAGCCTCCCAAGTGGCTAGGACTATAGGCACATGCGATCGTGTCTGAGTGTTGGAAATTTTCTTTTAAAAATTTTCTTGATTACATTTAGTGTGCTCATGTGGTAGTCTGTTGAAATTATTTTTTTTGCGATTAAGACAGCGCCTAACTTACTTTCTGTGTAATTTCTTTTTGGCTTATTTTGAATCCTAAAGAAACGTGACATAGTAGTGTGGCAGACTATGTTTAAATAGTCTTGATCTTGTCATTAAAATATATTTCCTTAGAGGAATAAAGAAATACCCTAGGGATGGAAATTTGGGTAGAGTATTATGGAAATTTAACTTCAACCTAGGAGTTCACTAAATGTCAGTGAAGTGTTATTACCTTAAAATGACTTTTTTTCCCCTCCTTCTTTAGAATCCAGCAACTATCACAAGAATACTCCTTAGCCACTTCAATTGGGATAAAGAGAAGCTAATGGAAAGGTAAGGAACCGTATTGTCGGCTTTGTGCTTAGAAATAACACAGAAAGCCTGTTGAACCGAATTTATAAGAATCAAGTAAGGGAATTGATTAATGTGTGCAACTAGTGACTGCTTTAATTTCTTGTATTCCCCTTTTGTAAAGTTTGCAGTAAATTTAATGTTAGGGAATCCAGGCTTAATATTTCTTTTTATTTGGGAGTATGTGTGTTTGGGGGTGGTGCTTCAGTATCTTCTACATATATCCTCTTGGGTACCAAGAACTAAAAGCAGGTAGAGAAAAAAAGCACCTGATAACATTCTTGGAGTACATGAATAAGATCCTCCTTTAATTACTTAAAAAGATTTCTTGCTCAGCCGGGCGTGGTAGCTCACGCCTGTAATCCCAGCACTTTGGGAGTCTGAGGCGGGCAGATAATGAGGTCAAGAGATTGAGACCACCCTGGCCAACATGCTGAAACCCGTCTCTACTAAAAATACAAAAATTAGCTGGGTGTGGTGGTGTGTGCCTGTAGTTCCAGCTACTCAGGAGGCTGAGGCAGGAGAATCACTTGAACCTGGGAGGCAGAGGTTGTAGTGAGCAGAGATCGTGCTACTATACTCCAGCCTGGCAACAGAGCGAGACTCCATCTCAAA